AGTTGGCGAGCCTGCCACTAGCGTCGTCAAGTACCTCCTGTGCCGATTTTACCTTATAGCAGCTTTGTATAACCTTGTTTCTTGTGTAGCGGCCAGCTTGCACCACCCAGCTTGCACCAGCTTGCACCAGCTTGCACCACCCAGATTTTGTTCTGGGAAACTTCAATTTTTTTGAATTGAGTTTTGGAGACCAAGGGGCCCCAGACTGGGAGGGCATAGTGCCAGATTGGCGCAATCATCTGCTTATAAAGTAGTGCCTTGCTTGCGGCTGGGAGCTTACTTTGCTTCCCCAGTATCCAGTTTAGTCCGTAGGCAGAGGCACGTACTCTGTTAGCGAGTTGGGTGGTATGGTGGTTAAGTTTAAGCCTCTTGTCCAGTAAAAGCCCAAGGTAACGGTGTTTAAAATGGCTTTGGATTATCTTGCCATGAATTAATGGAGCCTTAGGCCCTCGTGAGACCGAGACGGTGCGGTTTGAAAACATAACGTGTACTGTTTTGTTCGCATTGAGGGTAATGCCCCAGTCTGACGCCCATTCTGTGATTTCGTATAGATAGGTGGTGTTTGTGTTGATAGCTATGTGCGCTGCTTTTGTCTGCGCACATGATGATAGTATCATCCGCATATGTTGAGAGCAGCATGAATTTATGGTCCACCTGTTCTTTGAAAAGGGTTCGTTCAACGGAGCTTGGGAGCGGCATATCTGCTGTATAAATTGTGTATAATATGGGTCCCAAGACACTGCCTTGAGGGACACCCGCGGCAATGGTTCCAATTCTGGATTGGTGCCCGTTGTATCCGTTGACAATAAATGTGCGGTTTGTGAGGTAGCTATCAAGAGTTTTGAGGAGGCAGTAAGGTAGTAGCTTAGCGAGCTTCAAGAGCAGACCTTGGTGCCAAACACGGTCAAACGCTTCACTAACATCTATAAAAACAGCAGAGCAGTGAAGCTTTTGTTTGAAAGCGTTCTGTATGAACTGAGTCACTCTAAATAGTTGTTGCTCTGTGCTGTGCCCCCTCCGAAAGCCGAACTGGTGAGCGGGGACTGCATCCTCAAAGTCCTTACACCTGAACATCCTTTTCATTAGGAGCACCTCAAAAATTTTGGAGAAGCCAGCCAAGAGGCTGATTGGCCTATACGAGTCAACCTCATGATGGCTTTTTCCGGGTTTTTTAATCATGGAGATGTATGCGCACTTCCATTTTGAGGGAAAGTGCCCGTATCTAAGGATGCAGTTGTAAATGTAGGTAATAAAAATTACGGCTTTATGGGGAAGTTTTTTGATGAGACTATTTTCAATCCGGTCTCCCCCCGGGGCCTTTTTATTTTGTAGGAGTTTAATCTCTAGATAAACTTCTGCAGGTGTAATTGGCTTAAACCGCACGTCAGCAACAGGGTGGTCTCCCCCATAATTCTCCCTGTGCAGCCACCTAGTCGTCGTGATTAGTTTCTTATGCCTGATGATTTCTCTTGACTCAGAAATTACAGTATCCCTATATTCAGCTGAAGTTGTTAGTTTTTTAAGGGCCAGTTTGGCTCCGGTTTTCTCTTGAAACGATTAGCAATTTTCCAGAGTTTTTGGGCGCGATAGCGGTCCGTTGGGTCGATGTTGTTAAACATTTTGTTGTTAATTTTAGTTTTTTCCTTCTGCACGGGCAATAAAATTACGCTTACTAATATTTTTGGCATCAAGTTGATTCTGAAGACGTTGACTAAGAATGATTTGCCCTGGCCGATGATGAGTACGCGAGCTTCTATTTTGGGAAGCTGCCGCAGCCGCACAGTAAATTTTGTTGTAGAGGGAATCAATTACGAGCTCAATGTCCTCCCCTGAAGAAATTTCGGTGTTGAGGTGAATTGAATCTGATAGAACACGCTGGAATTTTTTAACGCTGGCTCTGGGTGGTAGGAGCCGACGTTTTTTGGCGCTGTTTTCAAAGAATCCATTTACAGCCAACTCAATGACAATAGGGAGGTGGTCAGACTGCAGATCAACTATGGAATGTGTACGAATCCTATCGCTAGGAATGCCTGAATAGATTGCGAAATCAATTGCTGATGGCTTTTTTCTACTATCAAAGGGGTAGTGAGTGGCGCCTCCAGTCGCTAGTACGTTTAGCTGTTTATTTAAGTGAATCGATCGCAAGAGGTTCCTGCCTCTTGCACAGGATCTCATGCCTCCCCACCAGGGGTTTTTTGCGTTCCAATCCCCGCATATAATAATTTTGGAGCTATACGATAGTTTTTTTATGTGGTCGAATAACTTATTAAAATGGACATCAGACCAATTATGTTGAGGTGGAAGATAAACTGGGGCTATAACTATTTCTTCCCTATTGCCAACTGTGATGGCTAGTGGGCAGCTTTGTAAGTAGTCTTCTAATATTGGCTGCAAGGCTATATGTTTAAGATCTGCCTTTATGTACACGGCCGTGCCACCACTTCTTTTGGTGGGGTGTGTGGCGGTGTATAGAACGTAGCCATTTATGTGTGCTTTGTTAATGGTGGTGGTAAGTGGGTCGAAGTTAGAGGCAAGGCGGATTTCAGTAATAATCATTAAGTCTAATTTATTTTGCTGAATAAAAAGTTCTACTTCAGGGAATTTGTTGCCAAGGCCACAGGCGTTCCAATACGCAATTTTGAATGATTTGCATAGGGAGACGCCTGCATTTGCTATTGGCTGAGTGGGATCTTCTGAGTAAATTCTGGAATTTCGTCTAGCATTTCTTGTATTAGGCATGGCATTCCTCATTAACATTTATTTGCCCCTTGGATGAGGCAATAAGGAGGTGTACTAATTTAAACAGGGCATCAACTTTTTTTCCCATTTCACTCACGGCAACCAGGTTTTGCTGGACCAACTGCATCATTTCATCAGCAGTGAATAAAGGCGGAGCAGATCCAGTTTGGTTTCCCCGCAGCATGTGTGGTTCCCGTTGAAGTGGCTGCCTGCGTTGTTGATGGCCGCTCGTTGTAGGGGGAGACTTTTCGCTGTTATTCCTGCTGGGAGAAAGAGTATTAATGCGGGCTGTATGACAGTTTTCCCTAACACCACGTTGTTCAGCTTGTAGTCGGGTCTGAAACTCTTTCAGGTGATTTTCTGCAGGATTTTTAGCAGGAATGGTTTTTGTGAGATTTTTATTGAGAGCCTGACTATAGGTGGCTTGGTTGACTTTGCTAGGTATACTGCGAAAGGGGTTTTGTACTCGTGAAGACTCTTCAGGGCACGCCCTTGTTTCGCCTGGCAGGTTCGTCGTATTCCGGTGAGTTTGTCGCTGCCTGTGCTCAGTGTTGGTTTGGGGTCTCTTATCCACGGCAATATGCGCACGGTAGGCTGTAAGGCGGGCCTGCCCTTTTTTGTACTCAACGCATCCCTTATAGCTGGCAACATGGCCGAGCCCACAGTTTGCACATTTGGGATTTGAGACTCTGACCTCCGAGCAATCCGTCGTCGCGTGGCTTCCTGCGCATTTCATGCACACGAAATCCCGGCGACAATTTGACTTGGTGTGCTCAAAACGCTGGCAGCGATGGCACATTGCGGGTTCAAGCCTCCTCAGCTGACGTTCAACCTTGACGATTTGATTTCCCAGCCTGTTGACGCTGAGGATTTTGTCGTTGGCATGGTCAGCCGCAGGAGCCAGCTCTACTTCAAAGATGTCCAGAGGCTTTCTGCTGCGTCGATGTTTGATGTTGTTAATGTAGCGGACATGTAGACCCAGTTCAGTAAGTTGCCGGCGAATCTGGTCGCTGGGCGTGGAATGATGTAAATGCCTGATAACAACTCTATAGCCACGCTCCGACGGTCGCTGAAACGTGTGAGACTGACATTTCTCAGCCTCCAGTTTAGCCAAAATCTGTTGATAGGAGATAAAGTCCTTGCATGTAATCTTGATTTTATTTCCAATTAGGCATGCCATGGAATAATTGTTTTGCAGACCCTCAATATTGTTGAGAGCCGTTATTAGAGGTTGGATGGAAGAAATATTATGTAAGAAGATAGCAGGGATTTTTTCAACAGGTTTTTGTGCCGAGGGGTTTACTTGGTCAGCAGAAGGTTGTTGGCTTGTGTCCTGAATCGTTTTGCGAGGGGCCTGACTGTCTCTCCGCGTGCATGCCGACTCTGTGGGAGTTTTCTGCACATTTCGGCAAGTGGTCAGGCTGCTGTGGGCGTCCTCAGCTTCCTCGAAGATATCCATGCATTCCTCAGTTGGCTTAGACGGGGTTTTTTTTTTCGCTTTGGTGCCGGCAGTGCGGACACTAGTAAGACCATTTGCCTATAGCAGGGCAATGGCTATTTATTTATTTCAGCTTTTTAGTGTATAAGCTATATATAAATACTATTTAGCGGCCAGTGGCAGAGGCCAATACAATAAAAGGCTTTAAGACATATAACAAAAATATACTGACAATAGGAACTGCGAATATCGATAGCGATGCGTCGCGATCGATACTCGCGGCTACGATTTATGAACTAGTTCATTGGTATCGCAGCCGCGAGCATCGACGGCCTCACATCACCATCGGTATCGCAGCCCTTTTTGTTTACATTTCAGAGTTGGAATAAATTTCTTTCATGTATTTCATTTTTCTTATTAGCGCCAGCGCTTTTCGGTGGATACCCTCCTTGTTTCGACGGGATTGTCTACGGGAGTTGTGTACAGCTGAAGCTAGCAGCAGGTTCAGCGTTAGTTCCTCGGGGTCCAGAAAAGGTGCCCGAGAGGAGCTCCAGCCAGCGGATGAGTCGTTGCTCAAGGCATCTGCTGGGGTCAAACCAGCTGCAGTCAACAGATCCAGGTGAGCAGTGGGAGGAGACTCAATGCCAGCAGCAGGCCGGTGCCAGATGTGGCCGATGGTTGTTAATTTCGACTTCTTTCCCATCCGTTGGACTTGGGGCAGTAGCAGGTGCGCCGGTCAGCTGGTGAGTATAAGATTGCGAGTTTTTGCGGACGCTTTTTTACTTACAATTTTATTTTTTTTTTTTTTTTTTTGCATCATGAGGGAGTAACGCAGCTAGTGATTACGCCAGCAGCCAGGCTTGGAGCAGTGTTGCCAGTGTCTACAGAGCATCCAGTCAGCTGGTGTCCAGGAATTTGCCAGGTTTCTTGCACACTGGGGAGCCAATTGGGACCCGTTTTTGCTGCTGTGGGCGGTGTTTGTGCTGCAGAGTCTGGAACGCAGGAGGCGCCAACCAAGGCTGAAGTAGGTGCCAATTTTTGGTGACATCAGTGCAGCTCCAGCCAGCAGATGTGGTGTTGCCGGATACATCTGTTGGGGAGAAGCTAGCTGCGGAGTTTGTGGCGATGCCATCCAACGGGACCAAAGGAGCAGTAGTGGGAGTATCAGTTCCCGCAGTAAGCCAAGCAGTAGGAGCCAGTGGGGTGAGTAAGAAATCGCCAATTTCCGTGTGTGTTGCTGACTGTAATCTTATCTCTCACACCAGGAGAAAAAAGCGCAGCAGAGTTGGTGTTTGCTGGCACATCAGAGTCCAGTGTAGCGGAGTCGATGATGGCGTTAGTAGCCAGGCGTGGAGCATCATCAGGAGGAGATATCTCGGCTGCAATCGAATTTTGGGGTCCTAGAGCATTGGAGCTGATGTCAGCGTTGCCTGTCAGCTAAGAAGAAACTCAATGACAGCAGCAGGCCCGTGCGCTTGTGGTCGCTGGTTTGTTAGTTTCGACTATTTTTCCCATCTGTTGGACTTGGGGCAGCAGCAGGTGCGCCGGTCAGCTGGTGAGTATAAGATTGCCGGTTTTTGTGTACGCTCCCACTTACAATTTCATCTCACACACCAGGAGGGAGTAGAGAAAACAAACCAATGCTCGCTGGAGCTTCTGGAGAACTCAGAGTGGTTTCGCCGGTAGCCGGGATTGGAGCAGTGCTGCCGGCGTTGAGGGAGCGTCCAATCAGCTGACGATCAGAGACTTGCCAGTTTCTTTGTGCACTATGAGGCGAGCTGGTCCCCGTTTCTGATGCCAATGGCGGTGGTTGGGCTGATGAGTCTGGAACGCAGGAGACGCAGCTCCAATCATCAGATATGGTGTTGCCGAATAAAAGCGTTGGGGCTAGTCCGGCTGCAGAGTTTGTGGCAGTGCCTTCCAACGGGTTCAAAGGAGCAGAAGTAGGAAACTCGGTAGCAGCGGTAAACCAGTGCAAACGTGGCTGTTGGTTTTTAACTCCAGTTATTTTTCTCGCACTAGGAGGAGATATCTCAGCTGCAATCGAATTTGGTTGCATTGGAGTATTGGAGCTGATGTCTGTGTTGCCTGTCAGTCTTGGGGCAGCGGCAGAGGTATCAGTCAGCTGGTGAGCAGAAAGTCGCTGAATTTCATATGCGCTGTTAACTATGATTTTATCTCTCGCACCAGGAGGGAGTAGCGCTGCTAAGTTGGTGTGAGTCGGTACTTCTGGAGGACCTAAAGTATCGCAGCTACTGATTTCGCCAGTATCCGGCCTTGTAGCCGTGTTGGCGACGTCGGCAGAATCATCTGTGTCTAATAGTTCCTTTTCCAGACGCAGTTTTAGCCTGTTGAGGCCAGCCTCGAGTTGCTCCTCTGGCGTTGGCGGTTGGATCTCGGACGGTAATAGCGGGCTCATAATAAGCCTTTGGATGTATTCCGGCTGGAAGCGGATTTTGCGAGCCATGTCCCAACGGCTGATTGAGCCGCTTCTGACTAGCCGTGATTGATGATTGACCCAATCTATCGATGGTCGTTCCTGAGGTGTACCAGACGAAATCGCAAGTTCTTGTCTTTGTCGGGCGTTGTTTTCTTGCTGCTCAACTCGCAACTGATCCTGCTGCAGACTGTATTGTTTTTGTTGTTGCTGGTCAAGGCGAATTAATGTGGGCACTACCTGCTGGTGTTGTTCCGGCTGCTGGAGCAGAAGTTGTCGCAAAGGTGCGAAATGCGTCTCAAGTTGTTTGCTGTACACAGGAAGATCCTGGTTATTTGGAGTAAATAAATCTATAAGAAGATTTCTGGCTTCTGCATTCGGGTGTGCATAGAGGGAGTTGGCGAGCCTGCCACTAGCGTCGTCAAGTACCTCCTGTGCCGATTTTACCTTATAGCAGCTTTGTATAACCTTGTTTCTTGTGTAGCGGCCAGCTTGCACCACCCAGCGTAAGATTTTGTTCTGGGAAACTTCAATTTTTTTGAATTGAGTTTTGGAGACCAAGGGGCCCCAGACTGGGAGGGCATAGTGCCAGATTGGCGCAATCATCTGCTTATAAAGTAGTGCCTTGCTTGCGGCTGGGAGCTTACTTTGCTTCCCCAGTATCCAGTTTAGTCCGTAGGCAGAGGCACGTACTCTGTTAGCGAGTTGGGTGGTATGGTGGTTAAGTTTAAGCCTCTTGTCCAGTAAAAGCCCAAGGTAACGGTGTTTAAAATGGCTTTGGATTATCTTGCCATGAATTAATGGAGCCTTAGGCCCTCGTGAGACCGAGACGGTGCGGTTTGAAAACATAACGTGTACTGTTTTGTTCGCATTGAGGGTAATGCCCCAGTCTGACGCCCATTCTGTGATTTCGTATAGATAGGTGGTGTTTGTGTTGATAGCTATGTGCGCTGCTTTGTCTGCGCACATGATGATAGTATCATCCGCATATGTTGAGAGCAGCATGAATTTATGGTCCACCTGTTCTTTGAAAAGGGTTCGTTCAACGGAGCTTGGGAGCGGCATATCTGCTGTATAAATTGTGTATAATATGGGTCCCAAGACACTGCCTTGAGGGACACCCGCGGCAATGGTTCCAATTCTGGATTGGTGCCCGTTGTATCCGTTGACAATAAATGTGCGGTTTGTGAGGTAGCTATCAAGAGTTTTGAGGAGGCAGTAAGGTAGTAGCTTAGCGAGCTTCAAGAGCAGACCTTGGTGCCAAACACGGTCAAACGCTTCACTAACATCTATAAAAACAGCAGAGCAGTGAAGCTTTTGTTTGAAAGCGTTCTGTATGAACTGAGTCACTCTAAATAGTTGTTGCTCTGTGCTGTGCCCCCTCCGAAAGCCGAACTGGTGAGCGGGGACTGCATCCTCAAAGTCCTTACACCTGAACATCCTTTTCATTAGGAGCACCTCAAAAATTTTGGAGAAGCCAGCCAAGAGGCTGATTGGCCTATACGAGTCAACCTCATGATGACTTTTTCCGGGTTTTTTAATCATGGAGATGTATGCGCACTTCCATTTTGAGGGAAAGTGCCCGTATCTAAGGATGCAGTTGTAAATGTAGGTAATAAAAATTACGGCTTTATGGGGAAGTTTTTTGATGAGACTATTTTCAATCCGGTCCTCCCCCGGGGCCTTTTTATTTTGTAGGAGTTTAATCTCTAGATAAACTTCTGCAGGTGTAATTGGCTTAAACCGCACGTCAGCAACAGGGTGGTCTCCCCCATAATTCTCCCTGTGCAGCCACCTAGTCGTCGTGATTAATTTCTTATGCCTAATGATTTCTCTTGACTCAGAAATTACAGTATCCCTATATTCAGCTGAAGTTGTTAGTTTTGGTGTAAACCTTTCTTCAAGGTGCTTAACGAAAGCTTCAGTTTTCTCCTCGCTTGTCTTTGTCCAAGTAAATGTTTCCCTACTACTACCACCACCATTTTCACACTTGATTTTTAAGGGCCAGTTTGGCTCCGGTTTTCTCTTGAAACGATTAGCAATTTTCCAGAGTTTTTGGGCGCGATAGCGGTCCGTTGGGTCGATGTTGTTAAACATTTTGTTGTTAATTTTAGTTTTTTCCTCCTGCACGGATTTAGAAAAGGCACGACTGTGTGAATTATATATTTTCCGATTTTCTGGAGTGGGCCTGGCAATAAAATTACGCTTACTAATATTTTTGGCATCAAGTTGATTCTGAAGACGTTGACTAAGAATGATTTGCCCTGGCCGATGATGAGTACGCGAGCTTCTATTTTGGGAAGCTGCCGCAGCCGCACAGTAAATTTTGTTGTAGAGGGAATCAATTACGAGCTCAATGTCCTCCCCTGAAGAAATTTCGGTGTTGAGGTGAATTGAATCTGATAGAACACGCTGGAATTTTTTAACGCTGGCTCTGGGTGGTAGGAGCCGACGTTTTTTGGCGCTGTTTTCAAAGAATCCATTTACAGCCAACTCAATGACAATAGGGAGGTGGTCAGACTGCAGATCAACTATGGAATGTGTACGAATCCTATCGCTAGGAATGCCTGAATAGATTGCGAAATCAATTGCTGATGGCTTTTTTCTACTATCAAAGGGGTAGTGAGTGGCGCCTCCAGTCGCTAGTACGTTTAGCTGTTTATTTAAGTGAATCGATCGCAAGAGGTTCCTGCCTCTTGCACAGGATCTCATGCCTCCCCACCAGGGGTTTTTTGCGTTCCAATCCCCGCATATAATAATTTTGGAGCTATACGATAGTTTTTTTATGTGGTCGAATAACTTATTAAAATGGACATCAGACCAATTATGTTGAGGTGGAAGATAAACTGGGGCTATAACTATTTCTTCCCTATTGCCAACTGTGATGGCTAGTGGGCAGCTTTGTAAGTAGTCTTCTAATATTGGCTGCAAGGCTATATGTTTAAGATCTGCCTTTATGTACACGGCCGTGCCACCACTTCTTTTGGTGGGGTGTGTGGCGGTGTATAGAACGTAGCCATTTATGTGTGCTTTGTTAATGGTGGTGGTAAGTGGGTCGAAGTTAGAGGCAAGGCGGATTTCAGTAATAATCATTAAGTCTAATTTATTTTGCTGAATAAAAAGTTCTACTTCAGGGAATTTGTTGCCAAGGCCACAGGCGTTCCAATACGCAATTTTGAATGATTTGCATAGGGAGACGCCTGCATTTGCTATTGGCTGAGTGGGATCTTCTGAGTAAATTCTGGAATTTCGTCTAGCATTTCTTGTATTAGGCATGGCATTCCTCATTAACATTTATTTGCCCCTTGGATGAGGCAATAAGGAGGTGTACTAATTTAAACAGGGCATCAACTTTTTTTCCCATTTCACTCACGGCAACCAGGTTTTGCTGGACCAACTGCATCATTTCATCAGCAGTGAATAAAGGCGGAGCAGATCCAGTTTGGTTTCCCCGCAGCATGTGTGGTTCCCGTTGAAGTGGCTGCCTGCGTTGTTGATGGCCGCTCGTTGTAGGGGGAGACTTTTCGCTGTTATTCCTGCTGGGAGAAAGAGTATTAATGCGGGCTGTATGACAGTTTTCCCTAACACCACGTTGTTCAGCTTGTAGTCGGGTCTGAAACTCTTTCAGGTGATTTTCTGCAGGATTTTTAGCAGGAATGGTTTTTGTGAGATTTTTATTGAGAGCCTGACTATAGGTGGCTTGGTTGACTTTGCTAGGTATACTGCGAAAGGGGTTTTGTACTCGTGAAGACTCTTCAGGGCACGCCCTTGTTTCGCCTGGCAGGTTCGTCGTATTCCGGTGAGTTTGTCGCTGCCTGTGCTCAGTGTTGGTTTGGGGTCTCTTATCCACGGCAATATGCGCACGGTAGGCTGTAAGGCGGGCCTGCGCTTTTTTGTACTCAACGCATCCCTTATAGCTGGCAACATGGCCGAGCCCACAGTTTGCACATTTGGGATTTGAGACTCTGACCTCCGAGCAATCCGTCGTCGCGTGGCTTCCTGCGCATTTCATGCACACGAAATCCCGGCGACAATTTGACTTGGTGTGCTCAAAACGCTGGCAGCGATGGCACATTGCGGGTTCAAGCCTCCTCAGCTGACGTTCAACCTTGACGATTTGATTTCCCAGCCTGTTGACGCTGAGGATTTTGTCGTTGGCATGGTCAGCCGCAGGAGCCAGCTCTACTTCAAAGATGTCCAGAGGCTTTCTGCTGCGTCGATGTTTGATGTTGTTAATGTAGCGGACATGTAGACCCAGTTCAGTAAGTTGCCGGCGAATCTGGTCGCTGGGCGTGGAATGATGTAAATGCCTGATAACAACTCTATAGCCACGCTCCGACGGTCGCTGAAACGTGTGAGACTGACATTTCTCAGCCTCCAGTTTAGCCAAAATCTGTTGATAGGAGATAAAGTCCTTGCATGTAATCTTGATTTTATTTCCAATTAGGCATGCCATGGAATAATTGTTTTGCAGACCCTCAATATTGTTGAGAGCCGTTATTAGAGGTTGGATGGAAGAAATATTATGTAAGAAGATAGCAGGGATTTTTTCAACAGGTTTTTGTGCCGAGGGGTTTACTTGGTCAGCAGGAGGTTGTTGGCTTGTGTCCTGAATCGTTTTGCGAGGGGCCTGACTGTCTCTCCGCGTGCATGCCGACTCTGTGGGAGTTTTCTGCACATTTCGGCAAGTGGTCAGGCTGCTGTGGGCGTCCTCAGCTTCCTCGAAGATATCCATGCATTCCTCAGTTGGCTTAGACGGGGTGCTGGACACAGGCGCCAGGCAAGTTGGCTTGATTGCTGGTTCGCCAGCCGGAGTAGCAGCTTCCATGAGTTTGGCCGCCGAGATGGACCTGGTTCGCTTTTTAGTTGTTATCGAGAGAGAAAGCTTCTTCCGTTTGCTGCACAAGGGTCCAGGTTTGGACGCTGGCGCAACTGAGTTAAGGGTAGATTTACGTCTAAGGGTAGATAAAATATGATTATTTAGTTCATAATTATCACAGTCAATAGCATCCACAACAGGCTGATCACCGGGCTTGAAGTTTTTGCAGGTGTTAGTGGAGGTGGCGTAGCGCGGTGCGTTTAACCCCTCTCCTTCCTTCTCACGAGATGGCAAATGAATGTCTGCAACCACAGTTACTTTTTTGCTGCTGGGTCCAGGTAGAGTAGGGCTCAGTGATACACTAGATACATCGCTAGGTATATCACGGCTCTGGTGGTCAGTATTAGCGTTGGAGATCATTTTATTTGGTTTGGCAAAAAACACGTGCGCTAAAGTTAGGTTAGGCTGCAGTGGTATGTGTGGCTTTAAAACAGTTCAGTTTGCATGTATAAGTGCGTGGTGAGTTTGATTTTGGCGCGAGAAGCCCAGAAAAGCCGCGAATTAGTTTGTGTGTGTGGGTGCGATACAAGAGTTTTTCACAGCACAAGTGCATGTGTCAGTGTAGACAATTTACATACACAGAACAAACACTAGCACTAAATACATGCGCGTCAGTCACATAAAACATTTTAACACGTTAAAATTGTCCAGTATTCGCTTTGGTGCCGGCAGTGCGGACACTAGTAAGACCATTTGCCTATAGCAGGGCAATGGCTATTTATTTATTTCAGCTTTTTAGTGTATAAGCTATATATAAATACTATTTAGCGGCCAGTGGCAGAGGCCAATACAATAAAAGGCTTTAAGACATATAACAAAAATATACTGACAATAGGAACTGCGAATATCGATAGCGATGCGTCGCGATCGATACTCGCGGCTACGATTTATGAACTAGTTCATTGGTATCGCAGCCGCGAGCATCGACGGCCTCACATCACCATCGGTATCGCAGCCCTTTTTGTTTACATTTCAGAGTTGGAATAAATTTCTTTCATGTATTTCATTTTTCTTATTAGCGCCAGCGCTTTTCGGTGGATGCCCTCCTTGTTTCGACGGGATTGTCTACGGGAGTTGTGTACAGCTGAAGCTAGCAGCAGGTTCAGCGTTAGTTCCTCGGGGTCCAGAAAAGGTGCCCGAGAGGAGCTCCAGCCAGCGGATGAGTCGTTGCTCAAGGCATCTGCTGGGGTCAAACCAGCTGCAGTCAACAGATCCAGGTGAGCAGTGGGAGGAGACTCAATGCCAGCAGCAGGCCGGTGCCAGATGTGGCCGATGGTTGTTGATTTCGACTTCTTTCCCATCCGTTGGACTTGGGGCAGTAGCAGGTGCGCCGGTCAGCTGGTGAGTATAAGATTGCGAGTTTTTGCGGACGCTTTTTTACTTACAATTTTATTTATTTTTTTTTTTTGCATCATGAGGGAGTAACGCAGCTAGTGATTACGCCAGCAGCCAGGCTTGGAGCAGTGTTGCCAGTGTCTACAGAGCATCCAGTCAGCTGGTGTCCAGGAATTTGCCAGGTTTCTTGCACACTGGGGAGCCAATTGGGACCCGTTTTTGCTGCTGTGGGCGGTGTTTGTGCTGCAGAGTCTGGAACGCAGGAGGCGCCAACCAAGGCTGAAGTAGGTGCCAATTTTTGGTGACATCAGTGCAGCTCCAGCCAGCAGATGTGGTGTTGCCGGATACATCTGTTGGGGAGAAGCTAGCTGCGGAGTTTGTGGCGATGCCATCCAACGGGACCAAAGGAGCAGT